TTCAATGTAGCTGAAATGAAAGATGCTATGACTAAGCTCTGGCATTCGAGATTGGGACATATGAGCGCTAAAAACATGGAAGTCCTAGCTAAAGAAGGTTTTTTACCTCTAGGAGAAGTTGGAAAACTGGACTTCTGTGAAAGCTGTGTACTCGGAAAATCTCATAAGCAGAGCTTCCCCAAGGCCAAGCATACTACCACGAGGATCTTGGAGTACGTTCACTCAGACCTCTGGGGTTCACCATCAACACCTGCAAGTCTCGCAGGAAACAAGTATTTCATTAGTTTCATCGATGACTACTCTAAGAAGGTTTGGACTTACTTCTTACGAACTAAAGATGAAGCTTTTATGATGTTCAAAGAATGGAAAGAGACGGTTGAGAATCATACCGAGAAGAAAATCAAGTGCCTGAGGACTGATAATGGCCTTGAGTTCTGCAACCACCTATTTGATGAGTTGTGTCAGAGTTCTGGGATCAAGAGGCATCGAACCTGCACATATACGCCACAGCAAAATGGTGTATCAGAAAGGATGAATAGGACAATTATGGACAAAGTACGAAGTATGTTAGCAGAAACTGGCCTGGGTCAGGAGTTTTGGGCTGAAGCTACTTCTACAGCAGTATATCTGATAAATCGAACACCAAACTCCACTATTGGGTTCCAACTACCTGAAGAGAGATGGACAGGTCAGAAGCCAGATTTATCAAATTTGAAGAGGTTTGGATGCACTGCGTATGTTCATGTAGTTCAAGAAAAGACAAGTCCTAGAACTATCAAGGGTGTGTTTGTTGGTTATCCGTTTGGAGTTAAAGGGTATAGGGTATGGATTCCTGAAGAAGGCAAATGCACAACTAGCAGGAATGTTGTGTTCAGGGAGGAAGAGGTCTATAAAGACACCCTAATTGATACTCCTAATGCACCTACAAGCTCTAATGGTGAAACAAAGAAGAAGTCTGGGAGGAAAACAGTTACCTTTGATACGGAGATGATACATGGACCATCTACGTCTGGTTCAAAGGTAACTGAGACTCCATTCTTTTTCACCAGTTCAGTCGACTCAGACTACTTCTTCAGATGAGAATACGTCTCAAGGTGGAGATTCATCATCTCAAGGTGGAGACAACTACATTCCGAGTTCAGAGCCTTCGAGTTCAAGCAGCTCCAGTGACTCTGATGACTCAGACGATGAGGGCCTGTCATTTGGAGAAGAAGATGAGTCAGAGGTTATAGCTGATATTGAAAACTATCTACTAGCACGAGATAGAACGAGAAGGGAGAATATCAGACCTCCTTCGAGATATGAAGACGCTGACTTTGTGGGCTATGCGTTGCAAGCTGCAGCTGACATAGAAACAGAAATGAAAATCCCAAGGTCAATGGCTCAAGCGAGGAAAAGTCCTAATTGGAAAGAATGGGATAATGCTTCTAAGGAAGATGGAGCTCACTCATGAAAAATCATACCTGGGATCTGATTGACAAACCAGATGGTGCTCGGGTTGTAGGCAGCAAATGGCTCTATACGATCAAGTCTGGAATTCCTGGAGTTGAACTGAAACGGTTTAAGTGTAGACTTGTTGCTCAGGGATTTTCTCAGACTGAAGGAGTTGACTACAATGAGATCTTCTCGCCTGTTGTCAAACACGTATCGATCCGGATTATGCTATCTGCAGTGGTAAACAGGGATTATGAGTTAGAGCAGATGGATGTTAAAACAGCATTCTTACATGGAGATCTGGAGGAGAGAATTCTAATGAAACAGCCTGAGGGTTTTATCAAAAAGGGCGATGAAAATAAGGTTTGCTTATTACGAAAGTCTCTCTACGGTCTAAAGCAATCTCCTAGACAGTGGAATCTAAAGTTTGACAGCTTTATGAAGGAGTCAGGGTTTATCAGAAGAAGCTATGATTCATGTGTTTACATGAGGAATCTAAACAAGGAAAATGCAGTTTACCTGTTGTTGTATGTGGATGATATGCTGATTGCTTCTGGGTGTAAGGCTGAGGTCAGATTGGTTAAGGACACTCTGAGTCAGAAGTTTGAAATGAAGGACTTGGGTCCAGCGTCGAGAATCCTGGGAATGGACATCATCAGAGACAGAAAGAAAGGGATTCTCAGTTTATCTCAGGAAACTTATATTGAAAAGGTGCTAAAGGCATTTGGAATGTCTGATGCTAAGTCTACGATTACTCCTCTAGCTACTCATTTCAAGCTAAAGAGTCTAGGCAAAGCATAAAAGAAAGAAGAAGCTGAGCATATGGATAACGTACCTTATGCCAGTGCAGTAGGCAGTCTCATGTACGCCATGATTGGCTCCAGACCTGATCTTGCTTATGCAGTGGGTGTGATAAGCAGATTCATGTCAAGTCCAAGCCGTGATCATTGGACCGCCGTCAAATGGGTTCTGAGATACCTACGAGGAGCATCAAAAGCCAAGTTAACGTTTACAAAGAATGAAAGATTCAGAGTCGAAGGATTTTGTGATTCAGATTATGCTACTGATCTAGACAGAAGGCGCTCAGTTACTGGTTTTATCTTCAAGGTTTGGGGTAATACAGTTTCGTGGAGGTCTAATCTACAATCAGTTGTGGCTCTATCAACTACAGAAGCAGAATACATGGCACTAACATCAGCTACTAAGGAAGCTATCTGGTTGAAGGGAATCTGTGAAGAACTAGGTTTTGATGCAGGGGCAGTTATGATTCACTGTGATTCGCAAAGTGCTCTGGCCTTAGCTAAGAATGCAGTGCATCATGAACGAACTAAACACATTGCTACTAAGTTTCATTTCATTCGGGACATTGTAGCAGATGGGATTATCAAGCTCTATAAGATTCATACTAGCCGTAATCCAGCAGACTTCTTAACTAAAGCCTTACCTGGGCCTAAGTTTGAGCTCTGCCGGGATTTGGTTGGTGTCATCTGAGAAGCTTGACGGCTCCAGGTAACTCCACGATCAGGAAGGTTCTCGCATCACAGAAGACAAACAATGGATGGTTAGTTTGGTTTTCTGATTCCTGATAGTGTAAATCTCAGAAATAAGGTTGAGAGATTGAGTTACCTGAAGAGCGTTTGGGAGCTGAGAAGTCTTCAGTTCCAGGTGGAGTTTCTGCACACAGAGATCAGAGATCAGTCAGTTTGATTTGGGTTTCAGGGATTTCTTGTTCAGAAAAGGTTTTCAGCGAGAAGAGGTAAAGATCTGAGTTCAGGGTTTCAGAGTTTTACCTGGGGATTTCTTTTGAGCAGCTACGGAGCAGTGGATCTGTTTCACGGGAAGTTGTTGAGAAGAATAGAGGAAGTCGAGAAGCTACGGAGCTTCTTGCATGTCACCGGATCTCGGCAAGCACGAGGAATCGGCCAGTGCTTAGTGCGGAGGCTGATAAACCTCAAGAAGATACTTGCAGAGACAGTGGTCGGCACCGTCAAGCGGAAGCCGGAGCTCATCGGTTCAAGTCCGATTGGAGCAGTCGTCTTCACTATCGCGGAAAGACAGAGAGAAGCAGCTAGGGTTCGAGATTCTCGGAGTTGTGTCCGAATAGGTGGAGATTGTAAATTTGGATTCGACTAACTCCTAATGGGCTTGGCCCAGACACTTCGAGAATTCGTCTTAGGCCCAAGACGGAACCCAACCCCAGCTGAAGTTGACACGTCAGCAGAGTCAACGTCTTCTTCTTCTCCTCCGTTATAAACCTGCAACAAGAAACGGAGAAGGGGTGACGCGAGTTAGTTACAGAGAGATAGAGAGAGAAGCGAGAGCATTGCAAGGTAGAGAGAGAGTGACTCACATTGAGATCATCTCTGGTGCGATTGAGCTTCTAATCTCTTGTAACATGTACGGTGGTTTCCGGTAAATCGGAATCACTTGTAATCCGTTTTCCGGTGATAGTGAAAACGACGGGAGACGTGTTTTCTCCCCCAGTGAGTAGGAAACGAACACCGGGTAAACAAAACTCTGTGTCTTTTACTTTCCTGCATTTACGATTGAATTCGATTAGCTAGAATCAAAGATCTAAATCTCAACACAGGCTTACATCAAAATCACATTTCACTCAGTGGAACTCTGGTCGTAATTCTCATTTTTGAAGATAAATTTGCATTAATTAATCGTTATGAATCTTGAAAATAAGAATGCAATTGATTCATGAACACGGCGATTAACGAAAGCCCATAATTATAAAATTTGAGGCCCATATATCGGGAATCATGTTAATAGCCGACTTATTACTTGTCTTCAACGGTAGTCTCAGATTCAAAATTTAGTCTCTCTCTCGCTCTCTCTCTGTTTTCTTTCTTTTGCATCTCTCGCCTTGAAAGAAACCGAAACATAGACTAAAAATTTTCTCTCCCGATTTCGTTATCTTCTCACAACAAATTGCTTAATTTCTCGTCGGAATCCAAAGTCGTGTTCACCGGAGAATCCTAAATTCGAACTTGTTGGTAGCGCAACTGAGAAGAGATCGAAGAGATTTCCGTGGATGTGTGTGACGATCCTTCGGCTGGATTTCAATTCGTGTGATCCGTACACTGATTCGCGAAGGTATATATGATCCTACGACTTTCGATTTCATTTTTAACAAAATCGAATTGCTTGTTCAAATCCCTTGGGTTTGGGTTTGGGGTTTCTTCTCTTTTTCGTCTATGAATCGTTCAATTTCGTTTTCTAGATCCCGATTCGTTTCCATGACGACGAGTCTAAATCCCTAGGGTTTGGGTTTTTGTTGTTCGTAGGAATTTCTTCTGTTTCGCTTTGACAAATAAGTCGTACAGAGTTAAGAGTCGGAAGTGATTCTGAGTGTTTTGATTTGTATGCAATTACATGAAATCGACAATGGATCTACGTTTCTTCGATATCTATGAAATCGACAGTGTCATTTCTCGGGCTCGAGTTTGAAATTGGTGGTGGAATCTGAACTTTTCTGGTTTTTGACAATTTGGATTCTGCTGGAACGTAGAAGAAATTTGTTGGTTTTTCTTGTGGTTAATTGTACAAATTGTTCAGTACTGAAAATAAGTTATGAGCTTTTTTTTTTTAATGGTTGAATGACTCTATCTTGTGGTTTTGCTTTGAGTTGTAGTGAGCAGAGAAGAACAATGAAGGAAGCGCCAAGAGCTATACCTCTCCTCTCAGGAATTTTGCAGCCTTCACACACACAGATCAGATTCTGCTCATCCTTGGCATGACTTGGAGATTGGTACGCTAATTCCTGTCATAGATTGTTTTTTTTTTTTTTTGAGAACTTCCTGTCATAGATTGTTTTTGATTCATATAGACATGTATGAATGATATATGCACAATTCTTCCTTGCCGGATCTATCACAAGTCGCAGTTTATGCATTTCGTTATAAGATTTGAAAAGAAGAAAAAAAATTTGATCACTGAATGGTTGTGATGTGTAGGTTGATCGTGTTCTCTGTTCATGCACAACTAGTCAACGGTTTCATTTGTGAGGACAGTGATCCAATAGATGATGTCCTGGTTCTGATGCAGGTTCGATTCTCTAGCCTCTTCTTAGCAAAATATGCAAACTTGACATAAACAGAAGAGTGAAATAACCAGCTTGAGATGATTGATTGATATTGCGCAGGAGCCTGTGCTAACTGGATCGTTCCCTCCGTGCCTGTGCTATTGGTTTAAGGCCCACGATTGATCAGGTAACAACTTCTCCATTCTCGGTGATGCTATCTACCTTAATAATAAGTTGAATTGAATATGTAAAACACTCAACATAACATAAGTTGGTCATGTTCTGCTTTTGTTCAACTTTGACGAACACAAAATTGAAAATTCGCACCATTAGATTCTCTCCTTGGAAATTTGTATAAAACGAGGCAAAGATTTGTGTAGGATTCATCTGTTTCTCGATGGTTGAATTAGGTCACAGCTTCACAGGACAGGAGATGAAAAAAATTGAACCTTTATCTGTTCATGTGGGTGCTTATTTCAATTGAACCTTAATACTAAACCCCAATCTTGTATGAAATGGCTGTGAACATACTCATTTGTAGACTTTTGATGAGGTTTTTCTGTGTTGAAACCCAAATTTTAGAGAGATTCGATGGATATTGTGATGATTATAATGACTTCATAATAGGGAATAGGATGGTCAAAGAGACGATGTCATGAAGCCATACAATCCGACAACTTTTGGGAAAGTTACAGAAGAGACGACAATCAAACTGTGTAACTTACCATCAACAGGTTATAATGAGATTTTGGTTGTTACATCACAATCTAAGAATGTTTGTTCTGTTGAGAGTTACCAAACTTCGCTTAAAATGTTGCATGCAGGTTAAGGATCTTGTAAATGAAGTTGAAAGAATCTGAAGGCAACTTTCTTGTGTTTTGCATCAGAGAAGGTTAAGGATTTTGAGCGTAAGTTTAGATCATTAATTAAGTGTATAAAGACGTGAAAACTAATCATTTAACAAAGTTTCTTTCTTGATCTATCAGGTGATGATGATGTCTTTGCCGATGCTTCCTTCACCTATCTTCCCGTAACTAGAACATTACAAAGGTTAGTTTCTTTTCTTTCTCTTTAACTTCTATAATTCTTGAAAACTATATTAATTATTCTCTCAAATAAAAAATAGAAAATAAAAAATTTAGAACTTACCAAATAATCAAATACCAAAAATAAATTCTTATTCCCAAAACTTATTCATGATCCAAACCTCTCCCAAATTATCTGATCCTAGACTTAAACCAAATAGAGATTTTTAATTAGTTGTCAAATTAGTTAAGGAAAACCGGATGATTTACGAATTGTGAGAACTGAAAGAGTTGGCGGCCAATCATTTATTTGATCGTAAGAGTCATCCATACTTAACTTGTTTTTGCATTAGTAAGTCAATCGGTTTTCTGTATTAATTTGACAACAAAAATATCTCTATTTCTTAAAACTCCTAAAAAACACTCCAACTTATTCATGATCTAAAATTCTTTAATAACTTAAACTGAAATTTGAAATAGAAATCAAAATCAAATTTTGAAACTTGCAAAATAATCAAATACCAAAAAAATAATTCTTATTTCCAAAACTTATTGATGATCCAAACCTCTCCCAAATTATCTCATCCTAGATTTAAACCAAATAGAGATTTTTAATTAGTTATCAAATTAGTTAAGGAAAACCGGATGATTTACGAATTGTGAGAACTGAAAGAGTTGGCGGCCAGTCATTTATTTGATTGTAAGAGTCATCCATACTTAACTTGTTTTTGCATTAGTAAGTCAATCGGTTTTCTGTATTAATTTGACAACAAAAATATCTCTATTTCTTAAAACTCCTAAAAAATACTCCAACTTATTTATGATCTAAACTTCTTTAATAACTTAAACTGAAATTTGAAATAGAAATCAAAATCAAAACTTTGAAACTTGTAAAATAATCAAATACCAAAAAAAATATTTCTTATTTCCAAAACTTATTGATGATCCAAACCTCTCCCAAATTATCTCATCCTAGACTTAAACCAAATAGAGATTTTTAATTAGTTATCAAATTAGTTAAGGAAAACCGGATTATTTACGAATTGTAAGAACTGAAAAAGTTGGCGGCCAATCATTAATTTGATCGTAAGAGTAAGGGCCTGATTGTTTAGGACTTTGGCTTTAAGCTTTAGGATGTGATTTTTGGTTGTAGAGAATTTGACTTTAAAGAATGTGACTGTTACTATTGGTAACAAAAAGCTGTGAGAAATGTGACTTTTATTTTAAAATATTTGTAAAATTATATATAAGTAATGATAAGATTTTTTGTAAAATAAATAAATATGCAAAAAAAAAATTTTTAGTTTTTTAATTGAAATTTTATTTGATTTTGTTTGTAATTAAGAAGTAAAAAATAAAACTTTAAATTTAATTAATAATGAAGTAAAATAGATCTTAAAATAAGTGGAATAAAATATAGTTATCAATTATTGAAAAAAATATTTATTTTAAAATTATAATAGTTTCAGAAATAGATTTTAGTTTATTTGGGGTGAAGAAAAAAAGAAAAAAGAATTAAATTATTTGAAGAGAGAGAAACTTTTGGTGAAAGCCACTTCTCCTGGCCTTGCTTTAGAGAAAAAAAAAGAAAATTAAAGAAGAAAAGCAGTTAACAAGACTTTCATGACTTTTAAAATTTATAAAGTCTTTAAAGTGTGATTGGTAAAATTTTAACTGTGAAGGCTGTCAAAAACTCTAAAGCCCTAAAAGCCTGCATACCAATCAGTACCTAAGTCATATTTAACTTGTTTTTGCATTAATAAGTCAATCGATTTTCCAGATTAACCTGACAACAAAAATATCTCTATTTTTTAAAATTCCTATAAAATACTCCAACTTATTCATGATCTAAACTTCTTTATAAACTTAAGCTGAAATTTGAAATAGAAATCAAAATCAAAATTTTAGAACTTGCAAAATATTCAAAAAAATATTTCTTATTTCCCAAATTTATTCATCGTAGACATAAACCAAATAAAGATTTTTAGTTAGTAGTCAAATTAGTTAAAGAAACCGGATGATTTACGAATTGTGAGAACTAACAGAATTGGCGGCCAACAGTTTAGTCATATTTAACTTGTTTTACGTTAGTAAGTCAATCAATTTTCTAGATTAATTTGACAAAAAAAAATATATATATATATATCCCAGTTAATATTCCAATTTATGACATAAACCTCTTTAAAAACTTTAACTGGAATTTGAAATGGAAATCAAAATCAAACATTAGAACTTGCAAGATAATCAATTATTCCAACCATAAAATTTTAGCGCATCAATCTAGTTGCCAAAATACCTTTAGTATATACTGATTTAAAAGCAAATTGATGTTTTGAAGTGTTTTGGCATTTGGTTATCCGTTTAACCGAAAAAACATATAAAAATATATAAGTTAACGTTGTTTTACCATATAAAATACAAACGGTTATATTGTTTCATAAAATAGTTTGATATAATGTTATTTATTTTCCTTACTCATTATTTGTTTATTGAATTTCTAGATCAGTTTTAACAACTTGGATAAGCAACACCACACGCGGCTAGGAGCTTGCGAGAGTTCGGTGAGGTAATGTATTGGGCAAACGCAGGGTTCTGAGCAAAACCACACAGGCATGGTTGTTGATCTTTCAGCTTTGCACAACAATCATCTGACAGCTGTCCTCCTCCAGTATTAGTCAATGCAGTTTGTTTTCGTGATTATTGTATTGCAAACCCAAATCACGATACAGTATAAACTCTATAAATTAATAAAGTTGGGACTTTGATATTTTATTAATTTATAAAATTATTAAATTATTGATCTTGAATAAAATAGTTGTTTTATTAAAAAAAATATTAAATTAAATAAAAATAAGAAATTTTTAAACTTTTTATATTTTGTATAGGTTCATTCTAAAATTAGGGATGAATTCTAAATATATTTGAGTTTTAGTAGAAAAGAAGTGAAAGTTATACTTATATTTTAGTATATTATCATAGATATGTATTGACATAAAATTTTATTTATGGTAATTATTAATTTATGATATTAATGAGACCATATATTTACATAGGAGTTTGAAAAATATTATTATCTTATTATTTTATCGAATTTTGCTAATTTTTACACTGGTCCGACTTGGAACTGAAGAAAATTATTATTTTATAGAGTTTATTAATTTATCGAGTATCAATTTATAGAGTTTCTATACTATTTTCCCACGAGTAGTATTGATTAAATATTATCACAACTGAGCTCTTGAAAAACCATGACCAGGTGTGTTCCGGTGACTTATACAATAATCACGAAAACAAACTGCATTTGGAAAAAAGCAAACAAATTACATATATATAATTATTAGTCATGGAGTTGCATAACAAATCCAAATCACCATACTACTTTCCTACAGAGAAAATAACAAACAAAACTGCCAAAAAGGCAGCTTTAAAAAATGTAGATAATGGAATACCAGATTTTTCCTTCTCAAACAAACCCTTTAGAAATGGAAGGAACAACGTAGCTATAAAAATTAAAAATACATCCACAAACCTCTTCCAAACCCAAGCCACCCTTTTTGTCACTGTGATTCCTCATTCTTAGGCCCATCGAAAAATCGGCTAAAGCGGCTATATTCACCAACAAAATGAATGTACCAGGCAAGTAAAACAGCGAGCAATCTGCGTTGAGACCATTATCTTTCGGTCTTGACTTAGTCTTGGACATAGTTTTTGTGGTGACTGTGAAGACGGTTTTTGAGATTCCAAAAAGCTTGAATGCAATATCAAACACGCTAAATAACGAACCACATATGGGAGCATACCATGATGGTACATAAAAACTAGGACTCATAAAAAGTTGCCGTAAAGTGTGAAGACAATGCAAATCCACAAGTGCGATAGTTATACCTAAACAAATTCCCTAAAACAATAAAATTCACAATATTAAAGTATTAGATTTTATTTTTTTATATATGAAAATAAATAGAACAAAGAGAGAGATAGTCACACCTTGGGAACCTTGGGAAATAAGAAAGAGTTGTGGAGTAGGCTATAAGCGGGCAAGAGACTATAAAGGAGCATAGGGAGTGAACATAAACCCTCCATGGAAACGGCAAGATAAGCCAATCGTTGTTGGAATCTTAATTTTTGGTGAAACATTCCGATCAACGGACTTTGTTT